AATCTGTTCCGCTAGAAATTTCCACGATCTCCTCGTCGACTTCGTATTCTTCTCCGACTTCGATTTCGAATTCTTCTTCGACTTCTTCTTTGATTTCCTCTGGGTCTTCCTCCGGATCTTCTTCTATCCAGCCGCCGTTACCTTGATTTAGGTAGTAGGGGTCTCCCGGTAAAGGAAATCCGGCCATTTGTCTGTACTGGGATAGAGGTATGAGATTTTTATAAGAAAAGAAATTTCTAATTAACGACTTCCTAAGCCTATTTATATCTTTACTGAGCGCAATGTTTTATCGTTTAATAATAGACTTATAGTATTTCAATTTAGCGAATTTAGATTTTATAAGTTTTTGGTTTGTTGACTACTACGACCATTCCTCGACGTATATTGGTCAAATCCAGGATAAATATAGTTGATCAGGCTATATTTATTCTTGATTTGATTACATACCCCAAGGCTCGATCGTGGTATTGCAACTTGCCATACTACTTTTTAGAAAAACTTGTCATGTTACGAGGCTGATACGTGTGGGTAAAAATGTATATATTTAAAAGAAATTATATTTCTATGAAAATGTTTTTATCAGAGGGTTTTTGGTTCCAGTTGTATTTATAGTTTGTATATCTTATGTGGTTTGATATACTTAGTTCACTATAAACAATGCTCTGATACCAATCTGTCACACTCCCAAACCAGAATGGCGGAAACATTCGAGGGTGGATGACTTCACGTAGTATCACAACGATTGAATATTGTAAAGAAAGTAACACAACCATCATATATATAAAATGAAAACGTATATTGTTGCGTTATACATGTTATCAAAAGAATATTACAATATGATGATAAATGTTTAATGATAAAAACATCCTTTGTGTTCCTTCTCCCAAAAGCTGGTAGTTTACCTGTATCACTGATTCCCTGAGAAATACAAGTGGTTTTGAAAAGTGTCAACAATTAAGTTGGTGAGTTCATGAGTGTTTCGAGTTGAAAAGTATATCCCTTTTGGTAGTAAATTGGTAAACGAGGTTTTTAGAAAATCCAATATTTTCTTGTAAAATGAAAAAGTTTCCAAAGTTGGAATGTGTTAGTAACTTTTATAATCAAATGATAACAATAATTTGTATGAAAATATAATGTAGGAAAACTGCGATGCACATATGAATCTCGTAAATCAATCTTGTTTTATACTTTTTATGTGAGTTTTATAACCATACTAATGACACTAACGGCCTGTAAAAACATTCTTCAAGTGTTGCAGTGTTATGACATTTGTCACCCCAGACCTGCCGGTCTAACTATAGCTAGTAGTTTAGGTGCGGGATTGTCAATCCTGTATAGATCTATACACAAGTATCACGCTCTCCCTCCAGGAGATTATGGTATATAATACAGGACTTGAAATGCATACAAAAATGTACGTTGAAGTTTAAATATCTCACATTACCTAGTATAAGTAGATTTACAATGAAATGACCTTACTTCTTTTGAAAGTGTTTCGTTTTTCAAATTGTATAAAAATGTAGGATTGACTTGCTAACTATACCCATTATATTTTTTCAGATAGTATGTTCCATTTAGTAGAAATAACTTAGTGACATAATCGCCCTTGTATACATAAGATGTTTGTATCGATATTCGAAGTTAGAAATTGCATTTATGTTTATAAAACGATACTTTTAACGTGTAATGTACTTGTATTTCCCCCCTAAAACATGAAAAAGAATTGAAAAGTAGGGGTATGAACTCACTCGTTAAGTTTGAAGAGGAAGACTAGAGTTAAGTAGAACTTCGATCGCGGATACTTGCGTCGTCGGGCTCTTCAGGGATCTCTGCAACGTAAATCTTTTGTCGGGGGATCGAGTGCGGAAACCGAGGTGAGGGGAGGGTCTCTGGAGCTTAGAAGTATGAGAGAATGGCTGGGGGATTGTGATTTGTGTGCAAAAACTCGAGCTTAAGCCTTCTATTTATAGGCTGGAATTGCCTCGTACGCGGGGCGTAATTTTGGAGTACGCGGGGCGTACTCACGTACGCAGCACGTACGTCGTTACGCTGGGCGTAAAATGCGTCATGGCTTATGACTCCTGGCTAGCTAGGCGTAGCTTGGACGGGCCGATGGGACTCGACTCTGGGTCTAGTACGCGGGGCGTACTCCCAGAGTACGCGGGGCGTAATCCCTGCTTCCAACTTCTAAATTCCGTAACTTTCACGTACGAGCTCCGTTTTTCGCGTTCTTTATATCCACGCGTAGGTGAGATTATGCTCTACAACTTTCATTTAGACTCCGTCGGCTAGTTTTGAATTTATTTTTAATGATATAATTCTAATAGGCCGGGCCTCCTAAAGTTCGTTAAAATTTCATAGGTTCTTTATTCGATGTCGGTTTTCGTTTGTCTTTTTATTGTTTATTACCACCGAGGAGATCTTCAACTTCCGTTTAGGTGGCGATAGCTAAATAACACTCGATCTTCAATCCGAGTTTTTTAGCCCTCTACTACTGTTACGAAACTTTGAAAATTCGTAACTTCTTCATTCGAGGTCCAATTTGGGCGATCTTTTTATGCACGCTCATCTTTCAACGAGATCTATGACTTTTGTTTAGATACTTTAAGGCAAAAATGTATTTTATTGAGATTCCACTTTTTACGTCAAATAATCTTTTAACGTCGTGTCGTAGATATACGAGTGGTTATAATTTCTTCAATATAACTCGGTTTTGAGCGTTCTTTATGTTTTTGGAAATCGGGGCATGACATCTAATATTCGATGCATCCCAACTTAGATACTTGAACACTTTGTTTTCGAGGTTAATTTCGTTGTTTTTAGCTTTCGAGTGTTTACAATGCTTTTGGGAAAAATAGGGTTGTCACAATATCAAGGAAGCCCCTGTCAAGAAAGGTCATAAATGAAGATGACACACATTTTTGCGTATCGTAATTTTAAATGTTAAAAAAATATTATTTACATATTTACTAATTTTCAAATTAAATTTGCATTTAATGTCTCATAACAGAAAATAAAATACCATATACAAAAAATACAATCCATTGCATAAAATTTATTGTCATACATTTAACAAACTTTATTTCATATTCATACATATGATTACATTATTCATTTAAAGAACATATACCTACATCTTCCCCTAAAATGTTATTATATGATGTTGGCCACTTCATTGATGGATCACCAAGAGGAAAACCAACAACTGCCCTAAAATGTTCCATGATGTGTCGATACTCATGTCCTGTAACTTTAAACATTTAATAAAGTAAAAAATCTCCTAAAAATAAAATTGCACAAGAAACAACACAAGTATCAACCTTGTGGTAGGTCATATGTGGAAAAGGAAAAAGAACAATTTGTTACATGATTACCCATCTTAATCTGCCATGTGTGCAATAATCTTCTACACCATCTCAATCTGCCAATAAAAAGGTGATTTTGTATGGACTAACCTATATATGGTTGTTTCTTTTTTACTTAATGCAGAAACAAATAGTTGATATTAATAGAGAAACTACCATTAAGTCCTAATTTTACAAATTTGTTCTCATTTATATGTTGTTTTCATTTTTCAAGTGCATTTTCATTTTATAAAGTATATTTTTAACAAGAACTTGATTAAAATATTTTTTTATCAATCATACTATTTAGAGTTTAGAGTTTCACCTTTTGCCTTGAATTTGTGGTTGTAATTTTAAAAGACTTCACTAGCTGCATTGTTGTTTCAATAGTTTTACTCCCACCAATAAAATCCGGGTGTGAAGTGTTTATATAATCCATCTGCAAAAGATATTGGATATCACTTTATAGGGTTAGATGCAAGAAAAAGCAATGTACTTTCATGAGCTTAACCAAAAGTTGCTTCCCATTTTTTATTATAAACAAAAACAACCCTCATGAGCTTAATCAATGCAACAGTTCAGTCTACTGCCTGTATGGTTAATAGCAATCGCTATAAATTATTATAAAACTCAAGAGATTAGAAAAAAGTACCTTCAATGTGAAATATGGCTTTCTGTCCAAGGCGCATCCTATGTTCCTAAAAAAAGAAAAAGAAATATCAATACTAAAAGAATAATGTTTTTAGAAAAAAAAATCTTTAATGGGACAATACCATGAACAGTGAACTCATATAATATGATGCCCAATGACAGTCCTCATGCTTCAATTCAGAATCTAGTTTCTTCATCAATTCATGAAGCAGCCTCTGAATCATATTGATGTTAACTAATATAAAACAAGTAATGAACCTACTATTAAGCAAAGAAACAAACTAGGCTTATTTTTTTTACATGAAAGAGTTGAAAGTCCAGCATTTGTGATGTGGCAAACATCTAAGTTAAGTGATCTAAGAGTTGATAATCCGGATAGATTTGATAAACCTCCATCCATGATAACAGTGAATGAAATATTTAAAATTTGGAGATTCATCAATCCTGCAACAAATTTTATAAAAGATTAATTAATTAATCCTTAAAAATAAAATTATGAAATTTTATTAACTCATCTTGAACTTCATTGGTTGCCATTGTGATCAAACCAACTAATAAATGTTTTGAGGCAGGATTTGAAATTTTCTTGAAAGGGTGGCGTTCCCATACAAACTAGCAAGAGCTTATATGGTGCACTCCTCGACTAAAAATGCCACACGTGGCTTAAACTGTTTGACTAAATTCAACTCAATGTCTAATGGATTTGATGCTCTGTTGGTTTCTGATTCGTTACCGTATATCATAAGAGCAGAACCTAAAGCTTCTAATGTATCCACCACCTATCCAGTGAAGAGCACGAGTCAAGACTTTGACCGAGACTAGTGATGACATGGCACAACCCACCGGAAACGTTGGCGAGAGCACACATCGCGTTCTCTTGTAAAGCTTGAGCATCTTCACCTTGCATAAACCTTTTTGAAGGAGCTATTGTGGCATTAATCAAAGAAGGGATGCCATTACAACTTGCTATATCTTTTCTTGTTTTTTGCTTTGAGCTAAAAGAGACTATAAAGTAGATGCAGCTTGTGCTCTAACTAGAGGTTCATAACCAGGTCCTAATAGCTTCAGGAGTTGTTTTGTAGTTTCAGAAGTTGATATCTTTAAACATACGGATGCATCTTCAATCATCATACATGATAATAAAAAAATCAAACATTGGCTTGCGTGTTTAACTGGTCATGTGTTAATACCTTTACCAATATATCTTCTCCCCCAGCTTTGACTATTGCTAACCAAAAACCCTCGGTGGTCCCACACAGGTTTCTCAAAGCACCAGTCAGAAAATCATCAACTACTTTTGAACCCTTTTCGAGTTGCGCCCACAGCACTGGAACAACCCCTTCAGTGGCAAAGATTTTGGATCCAACATGATACTTGGCATCACCTTCAGAAACAACATAAATGGTATTTGCAGCTGTGATTTGACCTTTTGTTGATTTTAGAAGAGCGAGAAGCAGAAGAATGCAACCCCCAAGTAATACTTTGACCCATAGTTCGTTTTCCTTACATAATGAGCCCAAAACTGTAGTTGCTTGGATCTTTACACCAAGTGGACCTGATCTTAGGAGAGACACTAGAACTAGAACTATTTGTGAATATAAACTAACAGGGGTATTCTGGTACTTTAGTAGAATAAAAAAGAAAAAGTGCCTTACCCTGTCTCTCAAGAGTTGAGACTCCTTGTGTGCATGGGTGATTGTGGGAGAACACCTTTTGATGGAGGGACACCAACCAGACCACAAATCAAAGTCTAATTTCACACCAGTAATGGTTGTTGAAATGTAAATAATAACAATATAGAAAATGTAGAAAAGGGAAAAGGGAAATTAGAATAGACTAATATTTAATACCATGAATCGAAGTAACAATATATCATAATGGTAAGCAGAAGGGTTTTTGAGATGAATTATTTCTATTGTGCCATTTGTGCAACTACGCGATGGTCAAAAAAGTACAAGGCTGCTATAATCAGTGCTGGTATTATAGCCGTGACAATGTGAACTGCTGGAACCTTCACCACATCCTGAAATAACATTGATCTTTAGTTTCTAATAAAGGTACAATCTACCTTCATTTCCTCAATCATAATAGCAACATACTTTAATTTTTTAATGATTATATTAATATACGACCCATAATTTAATAATAGGAACATATTTACATTTCTTTATAAATAATAGAAATGTACTTGTAACAATAGCAGTATGTGACAAATAAAGTACAATTCCCATATTAGTAATGGAATGTAAGCATGCTACTACTATGGGTAGAAAATAAAGTACATTGTTATTACCGGCAGTAAAAATTAAAAAAAAAAATACCTTAATGAATGTCCAATGAGACAAAGATCCAGGTTCCCAAGGAATTGAATTCCTTCACTCTCCCCTAGGAATGGTGAAATACATTAAACAAGGAACTAAATTGTATCTCGTACATGTCAAAAACATACAAATTTTTTTTTAAAAAAATGAAGCAAACAAACAATCAAGCTTAAGTGGTATAAAAAGAATCAAAAGTAATATAATGCATTTGCCAAATTCTTGATATTTTTAAGCAAACAGACTCAACTCTACTTGTTTTAAGCTTCAAAAATACTTCATCCCGACTCTTACTTGAAACTTTACTAAGCCTATCCTGTAATGAGTGTCGAAGAGCACCTGTTGGTGGACAAAAAGAGCATTCAAATTCAATAATCATACACACACACACACACACACATATATATATATATATATATATATATAACCCTATTACTAAATGTGTGTATGTGTGTATCGAATTGGCTTAAGCCCTTAAGTATGACATGAGGACTCACTTGCAGACACAGGTTGAGATTTACTATCAATCTGCAGTACAATTGATTTGCTGCTTAAGTTACCATCCCTTTTTAATTCAATACATATAGGCACACGAGTTGCACCACCTTCACCAGTTGGCTGCACAAGTTAATTTGCAAATTAAAATGACTTGTGTTATCAAAGTGAATTAGAAAAAAAAAACAAAAACAAAAAAAACAAAAAAACATAAAGTGAATATATATGTCTAGATTGAAGATGAAAATAAAGAAAAATGAAGGTCGTACCAAAGCACGATGCCCAATCAAACTGTTCAAAACTGTTGATTTACCTACACTCTAAACAATTGGTAGCCCATAATTAGAAATTAGCTATCATCCTTTAAGTTTACAAAAGGGAAATCGAACTAAAGAACTGTCAAATAAGATACACAACAAATTTGCCCACAAATCCACAATGTGACTGCACTATCAAAGTTCTTTGATTCCATATTCTTTTCTAAAGTGTGTAAGTGTGCTAGGTTGAGTGCATTTAATCCTTAAAGGAGTATTGTTTTTATGATCATCAAGATTCTCGTCTATCTTAACATACAAAACAACGTCAAATAGATGTGATGAGTGATGACAGTGTGCTAGGTTAAGATTCTCAAGTAATGGTCAAATCAACTTATGTTAGAAATGATTACTCACTACCACTGGACCTCTTAAAAAGCATATGTTAAAACTACAAGGAGCCTAAAAAGATATACATACAAACTGCAGCCAATAGAGATAGAAGATTAGACCTGTAAGGACAGATTGGAACAGCAATTTGAGCGATTTGGTACTACAACAGACTTTTTAGCACCTCCATCTGCTGTTTCTGCAATTTTTGCACTAAATGTTGCACTTTGACCCTCTAATTTTTGGCCTTCAACACCATTCATCCACATTTTAATCATTACCTGAAAAGTAAACATATAAAAAAGCATATCATGTGAACAAATCACCAATTTACGCTACAATTATCAATAGAATCCCATCAGTTAGTCTATATATGTATGTATAATCAAACATGTGGCTTACCTTTAATTTATCACGTCTGATAATTCTTTCATAGATGAGGCGTAATCTCTCTCTACAACTCCATGTTTTTGAGTCTCGGAGGCAAATCCTAGGTCACTTCATCCATAACATTGGAACTAGAACCCTTAATTGAAGCTTGACAAGCAACCCTAGAAGCACTGGAATCGGATTCCCACACACCATCAGATTTCGATACATCCTCCCTCTCTTCTTCTGTAACATCATACACATAGTAATCCTCAACATCCATAGGAGTTCTGAGAAGAGAATCGCCCTGATTAGGTTTCCTAGCTTTATGCAAACCCTCCAATTACTACTCTGCTTTCCTGATTCCCAACACAACAGCTCCAGTAGCACTTGGCTTTCGTCAGGCACGGTAGATAGTAGACGAAGACTGATCGACAACCCCAGGAGGAATAACATCGCTTAAATCGACCTCATTCCGCACAAATCGACCCACTGCTCCTTTATCAGGAGACTTAACCTTTACATCCTTCAGCAATGAGATGAAAAATGGTAGAGAGAAGTCGTACCAGGTTTTAGGGTAGAGAGAGAAATGGTGGAGAGAATTGTAGAGAGAGAAAAGGTAAAGAGAAAGAGTTTTTTTGTACCGTGAAGTTTCTTAATCTCTTTCTTCAAGTCGGCCTCAAACTTCTCCTTCTGATTGGCATTGTCAGTATCGTATACCTAAAATATGAAATTCAACACGCGAACATGAAACTTCAGCGTATAATTCAAAGAAAATTAAAAACATTTACCAAGAGGCCTGGGAGAAAGGATTAGGAGAAGTCGTACCAGATTTTAGGGTAGAAATCAAACTAATTTCGATTGTTGCAAAGGCCCTGGAGAACCGATGGAGAATTGGAGAGCATTTTGAATTTTCTTGAAAAAGCCCTAGGTGTGAATGAAGGGAGATACATATGAGAGATCGAAGAAGCGGGCACTACAAAATTTTTGCCCTTCAAAAATGCGTGTTTGATAAAAATATATATATATATAAAGCGACATTTTTAGAGGACACCCATTTAAAACAAGTTCCCTCCGTGTTTGTATTTTTTTTTGTTGGACATCTATTATTAGGCGCGCAAAAATGAGTGTCATCTATCCTTCAAATTTTCGAAGGCTAACATTATTTTTAGGGACACACAACAATGCATATCGTAAATCAGCGAGTGTCATTGTTCGCGCGTCATTAAAGGGTATTTTTCTTGTAGTGTACCAACACTACTACAATGAAAACCTTAGAACATAACATAAACTTAAAATGCTATATGAGTATTTTTTTATTACTATAATTACTTATCTGAGAACTAAAGGACTTTATTAGTATATCAAAAGTTGTTGAGTGGATATGCTAAGGTTATATGTATCTAGGATATCAAAGACTTAGAATCTGTGATCTTTTCTTTACTTCTTGTTCCTTGTTTGCTTGTGGGCTTAAAGTTAGGGTAACTTATTCGAAGGTCTATCCTGTCTTGGATACATATGACTGGTATGCACTATGCAAATGTTGAAGTAACTGATAAAGATCATCTTATAATTATCTAATTAGTTCGTCTATTTAGTTATTTCTTATACCCTTTTCTCGCGTAGATTCTATGGTTGGATTCCATATCCACGGAGACACATACTACCCCAACAACGGCAATGTAGGATGGCTTGGAGAAGAGCCATAAGATGATCACCCAATCCCATTGGATGATCACGAAGATGAAGGCTTTTCTGATGGTTTTGACTCAGAACCTGAAGTCAACAACCTACCCCCAACTGCTCAAAACCCGATCCCTAACCCTTGTCCAGCACTTCAAGGACCCACACCTATGTGGGCCACAAACTTGAATAGATGGAGTTAGGAATAGGGTCAACCCATTCCATACAATGGGGATAGAAGCTTTTACAACCTCACCGAGGTAGGTTCAGCTGACCAAGTCCTACCCATCATGGTCCGTAGGATTTCTCGGAACACTGAGCAAGGACGAGCAGCTATCGACCGAGTCGGGGAGATTGACGCCAACTCTGGCGTTAACACATTCCGCATTCGCCAGCTAGAGTCTACTAATGAAAGGACTCAGGTCCGCAATGCAACTCTGCAGAGGGAACTTGTTGAAACCCAAGCTGAAGTCAGAGAACTTCGAGTTCAGCAAGCAAGATCTGATAGGCGTGTGAGGGACATAAAATTCCTTCTGTCGGACTCAAGGACTCACTCTAGTAGTTCTCGTCGCTGATAGAGTCTCATCAACTTCTCTTTTGGATAATTTCCTATCTTTGTAAATCTTAGACCTGTTAGGTCTTGATTAGGTCGTAGTTCTCTCAAAATTTTCCCATCTTGGTTGATGTAAGACCTACTTCTAGGTCATTTTCCCGAACTTGTTACATCTTTAATACCAGTATTATTGACATATACGTAACCTCATGGAAATTGTTTTCCAAGTGCTATCATCTGTTAGTACTAGATCTACATTCAATCGTGTTGTTGGACTATGGAGAGTTAGTCCATGAGTCATCCTCATCAATTTTCCTTATTAAATTCTTATCAATATCTACATCTTTATAAACGTATAGTTGAAAGATGCCTCCACGTCGATCAACAAAATGCAATCCTCCATCAACTGCAACACCACCTGCTCCTCAATTCGATACGGCAGCCCTGAATGTTGCTGTAGCTGTGGCTGTGGCAACAACTATGGCTCAATATCATTCTTCTAGTTCCACTAGAGGAGGAACACCTGTTCAATCTACTCATGGTGAAATCTTTGTGCACTTGAGAGAGTGCTCCTACAAGGCCTTCACCAATTGCAAGCCATTGTCCTTTAAAGGGACTGGCGGGGTCATTGCCCTCTTGCAATGGTTCGAGAAGACCGAATCGGTTTTCGAAATCTGCTCCTGTCCAAAGGGGAACAAGGTCAATTTTTCTGCTTGCACCTTTGAGGAAAAAGCCCTAACGTGCTGGAATATCCATGTCAAGTCACTATCTCTTATAGTGGCTAATGCTATGGGTTGGGAAGCTCTGAGAGAGCTGATGGTTGAAGAATACTACCCGAGGGGCGAAATTTAAAAGCTGGAGCAGGAACTGTGGAGCCTAACCATGAAGGGCTCCAACATTGTGACCTATATCGCTAGATTCTGTGAGCTGGTGGCCCTCTGTCCCAACATGGTTCACATAGAGGGAAAGAAGATAGAGAGATACATATGGGGGTTGGTGCCTCCATTCCAGGGGAATGTTTTGGCTTCAAACCCTACTACCTTCGATAGTGCCAAGCGATTGGCACAGCGGCTTATTGACCATGGTGTTCGTACGACGGCCGCAATAACAACCCTGGCCATCTCAGAACCCGTCAAAACTGCTGATTCCAAGCAGAATTTCTAGGATGACAAGAAGAAGAATAAGAAGAATGCTGCCAAAAAGTAACAGGTTGTGGCAGTTCATACTGCAATAGCACCTGTCGTTGCTGCTCCGGTAAAGCAGTACTCTAGGAGTTTGCCAAAGTGAAACAAGTGCAACTTCCACCACACAGGAGCCTGACAGGAAATGTAGTGTTCGAATTGCAACAGGAAGGGGCACATCGCCCGTTTCTGCAAAGCTCCGGCGAGGCCACTCAACCAAGTCCACGATGCTAGTGTGGGCCAAGCTTGCTACGATTGTGGCGAGGTGGGCCACTACAAGAGGGACTGACCTAAGACAAGGAATGCTGGTGGAGTAGGAAGGCTTATGGCCATGGGCCATGAGGAAGCGGTTGCCGACCCCACAGTGGTCACTGGTACGTTTTTGCTTGATAACTCTTAGCATGCATTGTGTTTGATAGTGGAGCGGAGAGGAGTTTCGTGAACCAAAAATTTGCTCATTTACTTAAGAAAAAATCACAAGCACTTAAATAACCATTCATTGTAGAAATGGATAATGGGAAGACGGAGAGCACTAGCAGTATATACATAAGGTGTACCCTAACAATAGATAGCCATTCATTTTCGATCGACCTCATTCCAGTTTCAATTAAAAGTTTCGACGTTATTATCGGCATGGACTGGTTGAGTCTTCATCGTGCCGACATCATGTGTTATGAAAAGGTTGTTCGCCTTAATCTGTCGTCTGCCGAAACTCTAGTAGTTTATGGCGACAAACCCGACACGAACCTTCGTATCATCTCAAGCATTCAAGCTCAGAAATTCTTGCGAAAGGAATGTCGCGCATTCCTTGCCCATGTGGTCGATGTGAGCCATGAAATGAAAGACATTAAGAACATTCCAGTAGTACACGACTTTCCCGAAATCTTTCTAGAAGATCTCCTAGGATTACCTCCGTAACGTCAAGTCGAGTTCATAATCGACTTAGTTCCAGGGGATACTCGTGTAGACAAATCGGCCTATCGTTTAGCACCTGCAGAGATGCAAGAACTGTCCTCTCAAATTAACGAACTGCTCAGCAAGGGCTTTATAAGACCAAACTTCTCACCCTAGGGAGCTCCAGTCTTGTTCGTCAAGAAGAAGGACGCATCGTTTCATATGTGCATCGACTACAGACAACTCAATAAACTGACCATCAAAAATCGTTATCCATTGCCTCGTATAGACGATTTATTTGATCAACTGCAAGGGGCGAACCTCTTTTCAAAAATCGACTTAAGATCCGGATATCACCAACTACGAGTGAAAGGGGAGGTTGTCCTGAAGACAACCTTCCGAACTCATTATGGGCACTACGAATTTGTAGTGATGTCGTTCGGATTAACAAATGCGCCTGTTGTATTCATGGATTTAATAAATAGGGTGTGTCGTCCTTACATGGATCAGTTCGTCATCGTCTTCACCAATGACATACTTATCTACTCTAGTAGTAAGTAAGAGCATAGTCAACATTTGTGACTAGTCTTAGAAACACTGCGTTCGGAGAAGCTCTATGCGAAGTTCTCGAAATGTGAATCTTGGATCCGAAGAGTCAAATTCTTAGGGCATGTGGTTACCGAAGAGGGAATACATGTGGACCCTTCCAAAATCAAGACCATTGAGAACTGGTCAGCACCGAAGACGCCTACAGAAATTCATCAATTTATAGGTCTCGTTGGCTGCTATCGCAGGTTCATTAAGAACTTCTCCCGAATTGCAAAACCACTTACAACACTGACCCCAGAAAGGCGTGCCCCATTGACTCGGAAGAGAAGCAGGAAAGAGCGTTCCAAACGCTAAAGCGAGCCTTGTGCACCGTGCCAATATTATCCCTCCCTGAAGGGATAGAAGACTTCGTTCTCTATTGCGATGCGTCGAATCAAGGGCTCAGCTGTGTTCTGATGCAATGAGGTAAGGTCATCGCCTATGCCTCGACATAGCTAAAGACACACGAGGTCAACTACACTACTCACGATCTTGAGCTAGGAGCAGTTGTGTTTGCCCTGAAGATCTAGAGACACTACCTGTATGGTACAAAAAGC